TTGATCTTACTATTCAACAAAGATATTTTAAAAGGATTATGTTAACACAAATCCCCTAATATGTGTTTTTGGCCGTGAGACCATATGAAATATTGGTCTAGGGGAACACCATATAGGAATCCAATAAATAATAGGGAGACTTATCTAAATCCATATTACTTTTCAAAAATTTAAATTTGGATGCGGTTTGTATAAGGCGGAGGCTGAGACAAATCAAAGTAAGGTGCCTTCAAATAGTGTCTTGAAATATGGTTTTTATTAAATTTAAAGGGTCTGCATAGAGCATAAACTATAAACAATCAAATTAGAGCCTACTTTCAAATAATGTCGAGAAATGTGGTTTCAATATTGAAAATCTATGTGATAGTTTTGAAATATATTTTCATATTTATTTATAAAATTTAAAGTTTAATAAATAGTGTAGATCGATAGATCTATGAAAACTTGAAAATCTTGAAAATTGACGGTCCAAAAATGTGTTACAAAATACACTATTTCCAAAACTTGAAATCCATTTTTTTTCATATCCATGCTTCTTGATGTTGAGATGATCAATTTGAAGATATTTTGGCATCAAAACAACCTCTTCTAGTGAAGTTTTTGAGATAGGCTCAAATTTGATTGTTTAGAGCCTAGGCTCTATGTAAACTTTTTCTAAATTTAAAAGAGAGAAAACATTTAAAATTTAAAAGAGAAAGAAAACTTTTGATGTACGATTTCATTCTACAAAGGTTGTTAATATAGAGGTGTAATCTCTTGATGGAGGAATATAGTCTTTTTATTGTGGGGATGATGGTCAACAATCTACTTGGGAAGTAAGTTATAAAAATATTTAAAAACATATTTTCAAGATTTACAAGTTTTTGTTGATCAATTTATACTATTTTTTAAGTTTTAAAATTTATAATGAAAAATAAAAATATATTTTGAAGCTATCACAAAAATTTCCAATTGAAATTATATTTCTTGATAAAGTTAGGCTTTAATTTGATTGTTTAGAGCTAGGCTATCATCGAAGTAGGGCTTCAGACCGAGGGACTAAGGTACAGAAATAGTGGTCCCTATTATTGCGCAAGGTCCGAGGTCCGAGGTCCAATGTCCAATGTCTAAAGTCCAAACGCTTCCATTGTCGTGCTGCGGTTCAACTTCTTCATCTCTACCGAGCACGGATCGACCCCATGGCGTCGCCACGGCCACGGCCACTGGCCAGAGGAAGTTTAGGGCTTGTGGCCATGGCTTACGTAGGAGTCGATTACCTCAGAATTGTTTCTCCGTCTTTGCACTCTGTTCTCCAACCCCTTCTATGGGGAGTTCTTGCCATTGCCGCCTTTGCCAAGGCCCCCTTTTACAAACACTGGTCTTCTGAGCTCAAAGCTTCACTTCCATTCTTGGGATCTCTGTTCTTCATGCTCTCTGCCCTTGTAGTTGAGGCCATTTCTGTGCAGTTCGTCACCGCTGTTCTAGGTCTTGATTGGCACCAGTAATCTCTCTCTCTCTAACATTTATTTTCGCCATTGACATTGTGGGGATCCTTTTTTCTTTCCTTTTTTTCACTTTTTGTTTTTTTTTGTTTTTGTTGTTCACTGAGATCTACTGGAATTGGTTGGATTTCTATAATGGTAGACTCAGTTGGAATACTTTGATAGAAAGTTTGATCTTGTTTGTTTAAAAGACATGCATTCTATCTTTTGTTTGAGATTTTGTTTTACCTGACATCAATTTATTGTGATCTATGAGATCAGAGGATAGAGTGAAATGGGTTAGTGGAAAACCCTAACATTCTGTTAATTTATGCTATTGCTACTGGTTTTATATGTTAATGTGAAAAAGCTAGCTACTTTATTGATATATCAATGATGAAGTATCATTGGAACTACAACAACTTGGAATTCCTTTACAATTTTGAGTTACTATAAGCTTCTGAACTTTACCATGGGTGCCCAAAACTTGGCAGGGCCTCTGTACGCGCTTCATGTTTCTTCTTTATCGAGTTCAATACAGGCTAATGTTACTTACAAGTCTTACTTACCTATCAAGTAAATAATGCTTACCATTTCCGGTCTCATATCTTTGTCAATTTCCCATGTGCTCATATCTCTGTCAATCTCCCGTGTTTCTAAGATGATTAGATAGTTTGTTCTCACCGGGGCCTCATTTTGTAAGTTAACAAGGGACAACTTGCTATGGCATTTTTGTCAAATGCACAAAATATGCCTTGATTACTTACAGTGTTCTTTTTTGTTAAACCATTTTCTTAACTAAATAAATTGTCCTGATGTTGTCATGAAATACATATATAACTTTGGATTCCATTGTTTTATAATTACGCGATTCCAACTTAAATTCTCCTAATTTACTTGGACGCAGCAGGGTCCTGGGTCCTTGTCAAAAAAACCTTTGGACTGCTGAGTTGAGGTTACTGTGTTATTTTTTCCTACACGGCCTAGTCTTGTTGAGAATTGGCTGAGTTAGACCTGATGATTTGGGCTCAAGCCTTCCTCAGTTCCATGTTCGAGTCTTAAAACATTGTTGGATACCTTAAGTATCTTGTCCTTCAAAGAAATGTTTCTTTGTAACTTTTAATTGTTGTTGTTAGTTGGTATTGGTTGTGGTTATGCTTTGTTAATTGAAGCTTAAACGTCCAACTTGCTGGTCCATTTGCAAACTGAAATGTGTACCCATAGTTGTGTAAAAGTCATGTTTATGATTTTGTGTATACATTTTGAGGTCTTTGTTGATTATGATTGAGAAATCTAATTGGTTTTTTGTATACATTTTGACGTCTTTGTTGATTATGATTGAAAAATCCAATGTGCCTTTCAATCATTGAATGACTCATTTTATTGCATTCCAATGCATCATTTTGGGATTGCCTCCTTGATAGCCTCAATCTACAGCCTTCTCTTGCATATATGGAACACGTTAGGCTTCTGAAAGTCACTTGCATGAGAGAGTTGACTATTTGTCAGAGTATCCATTTGAAGTCTTTGAATGGCGAGATGTCTCGTCTTTGAAGTTCCTTCTTGGAGAAATTTTGCCCAGCTACCCAAATCCTTAGGTGTAGGAATTCCATGTTATGGTCAAACTTGTACCCCTTTTGCACAAAAGGGGTTGTGTAAGTTACTTCCAAGTTTCATGTGAGCAAGGCAATACCGATCTACATTTCATTAGCCTATCTTTCTGGTTATCTCCCAACAACAGCCTGAATTCAGTAGATGAAAGAAACTCATTTAGTAAGTCATATATGATCAATCTCAGAAATTGCGCTGGGATATGGCATAACACGTGCATCAGGATATGGAGGCATTATGAATTATTCAATCACATTTGATATACTCACAGTTTGTCGTGTGGACTTTGAGATGTATATTTGGACATTGAATTTGTAGATGCATACTTCCTCAATGATCATGATGAGGTAAGGGCCAGTATGAGGCACTTGTTTTGGTTTAACTATATGTTAGGTGTCAAAGATTTATTCGATTGTGGTATTTTGGTATATTATAGAATATCAGCTGCCCAAGATTGGGCACATAGCAACAGCATATTCTCACAAGAAAGCAGTTTGGGATCAAGGATTGGTGAGTGAGATAAGTCTATTTAAAATTATCGATGAGTGATATTTCTTGACTCAGAATTCGGTTTAAAAATAGAGTAGAAAATCATAATCCAGTAATCCAGTATAGTATCAGAAGTTTATTGGAAATGAGTGATTGTATAACATAGGATATTTAATCGATATGCTCACAAGATCTGTTTTAATTTTATCAAGCTTTACTTCCGTAGGTCTCAAGAAAATAAGAGTGGGTACGCATGAAAAAGAAAATAAAAAATAAAATGGGGAACTATTGGCACGACAAAACTAATGCAGTGTCATTGACGTGGCGATTACTGTTTTTGGGTGATAAGAATCCACTATTTGCAAAATATGATCATGTAAAAGATATCTCGTGTGAGATTGAAGGCATTTTGGGCATTTGGTTATTCGCTTTTGTAACTTGGTGATCTCTGGCTTCCTTTGGATTGAAAACTTTGGAGAAAACTCAATCTCTTATTCTAAGAATTAGTGATGTTACCAAAGAAATAAGCACAAAGAGTTGAGTATTGCCCCTCGATAAAAAGCAAGATTGAAATCGAACCTCTAAGACCTGAAAAAGAGGTAAAATGAGCGGTATAGGGGAACTGAGAGGGCACAGATGTTGTTATGTGTAGATACCCTGGAAGACGAGAAATAAGTTGATATTTTGTGGTGCTTTGGAGTCTTTTATGGCTTGTATGTTGACGTTTCTCTTTTTAGTGCTTGATCTTTGTAAGTGTGTAACTTTCTCCCACACTTCTCAAGTTGACGATTGACTCTTGCTGGTTGTCCCTATATGTAGTCTTGCCCCATGTGGAACCATGTCTTACTTGTATGGTTTATATTTTTGTTCCAAAGTATTGCACAGAATCATTTGTCTCATTCCATGGGTTACCGTAAACAGTTTATCTGTGTTTTTTTTTTGTTGGTTTTCAGCGAGTAGTGGTGATCATCGCCACAATCTTTTTAGTTAAAAAGCATTATGTAGCCCGAAGTAGTTTATGATATGTAGGGGCCTGGAGAGGCTAGAGAGACACCTATCTTCACAGTAGTACGCTAATTTATAGAAAATTAGAAATTTCAAAAATCTATTTTTCTTTTAAAAGATGATATATGCCGTATGCATAGTAATATAATCAGTATTCCTGTGTATCGAACTATCTCTGTGTTACACAATTTGTCAAAGTTACCACATAATAGTAGCATGACATGATTTATTGAAAATTTTGTTGTCATTCTATATTTTTAACGTTCATAACATGGTTTAACAAAAATGAAATTAGTATAGTTAGTACATATCAGCATTCCAACTTAACAAAAACGACTTTAAGAAAGTTATAATTCATATGCCAAAATAATGTAAGAAGTAATATTATGTTAGCATTACCCATTTCATATCCAAACATGATGTCCAATGTGTATTACACCTAAGTATAAAAAATATATATATTAAAAATAAAAGTTTAATACTAAATAGCATATTATAGTTTATAAATGATGAATAAAAGAATAACAAATTAGTATGCCTACTTATTAATAACATTTCAAAGCAAAAAATGTCTACTTGTTAGTAACCAACGCTTTTAACATGACTACAAGTAACACTATGAGCATTTAAACCTTGAAAATTCACAAACCTTGAGACTACAATTAACAATATCTAACAATTGAAGATAAGGTTTATTTCATTTTCCTTCCTTTGATGACTCACTTTATCAGTATTTACATTGTCTCTGGTTGGTTTGTCATTTCTTTTTGTTCGTGTCAGTATCATCTCTCTCTCTCTC